ACTCTGGGTTGATTTGTTTGATAATCCATTTGTTTGTTTTCTTGGCTGTCCACAGTATTCTCAGGAGTCTTCTCCAACATCAAGTGACTATATAGATAGCCCTTATCCAGGATGATCTGTCCCTAAACCATCTCTTCAGGTTTTCCATCAATTTCTGGTATAATTGAGTTCACCCACCTTGCTGCTGGTCACCTTCTTCTTATCCTCCTGTCTACCTTTCCAAGCACTGTAGACTTCTCAAGAGAGCAGGGTCTTCAGTTTTTACCATATTGGTTTGAGCATATGCGTCGATAGGGTAGAGTAAGAACCGAAACCGTTTTTCTTAGTTTTGTTGTGGAAGTGGGTGCCACTGACTTCTCCTGTGATGTTTTTTCATCCTCCCAATCAGCCAACAGTTGTGGAATCTTTGGTGGCTTGCCATCCAGGTACAGGCCTGGGGCCAAGCAGCTTCTAAGATTAGACAAGGTTGGCTGAGTATTATAAGGCTATAACAGAAGATTACATACACACACTTCACAAAAGTGCTTCACAAAATGATGGGAATACAAAGTGGAGATCAAAGCCAAAGCAACCTCTGTGTTTTCATGACTTGGCTGTGTTCATATCCTACAAGGAATAAAATAGAAGTGTTAAATGAATGACACATCTTGGTGGGAGGAATGAGAAGTTGAGAATACTGTATGCCACAATAGCTCAGAAAACCTTAAAATATATCTGCAAGTCCATACCAAAAGCTTGCAGTAGCAGAAATGTAAGTTCTAAGCCCTGAAATTTAAATAAGCAGAAGGTCTATATGAGATATTGGGGGAAGGTGTGGGTGGGGAGGGCAAGTTAAATATATGATATGCTCCCCTCAACACTTTCCTTCATGCAAGGGCGGAAAAACTCCAAGAGACAAACCCTCTGAACACAAGGGAATGGTTTAGTTCGTTTGTTGCAATAAGCAGGGAGAATCTGCACAATCACATTTGGTCTCCAAGGAACCAGGCTCTTTGCCTACTTTTTGTTTCTAACTAGCTTGTCCGTCATTCCTTCCTTGTTTCCCCATTGGCTGAAGTACTCCAAGGTTACATTCTTCACGACTGCCTCTTTGAAGTTTCCTGGTTTCTCCTATTACATGCATAACCATACATCGCATGTTCATTATAATTAGCTTATTAATTATCCAGGGTGTGTTAGCTACTATTCATTAGTTCATTACCCATGCGCATTTCTGTCTTGGAGCTCATGACTTCAGCTGGCTACGTTCCACTGATAAGAACTGCTTTAAGCTGGTTCCTATCTACAGCTGGTTTGGATCTACATCATCCTACTCAGTTTGGATACATCATCCTACTCACTTCTCTCAAATACATATTTGTAAAATGGGAAAGGCTGCTTACTTAAAAATCAGTGATAAATTTGCTAGGCATATCTTTTGTTAGGGAAATTGAAAAACAGTGAGGAGGAAATATCCATGGAGGTGAGAACTATTTTGGTAAAGGGTTCTGTTTCTCTTCCTCTCCTGCCCCTCAGGCTAAAGATAATGTATGCAAGATAGGTTTTGCTCAGAGAAACAGAGATAACAGGCTTGAGAACAGAAATCCCTTTTCTGAGGATTTGATGATGAGTGGTGGATTTTCTACTATGCTGCCCTGTAAGCATAATCTTCTTCTGCCTATGCTCAGCTTGAATATTTTAAAGTAAAACTCATTTATTATAAAAGGTCCCCAGTCTCCAGTGACCTCTCCATCCAAAGGCAACCAACTAGACAGGCACTATCATTTCTCAGAAAAAATAGGGTGCCCTTGGCAGTACGATGCATGGCACCGTAGCCTTAGAAAATGCTGACCCAGCTTTGGAACGCTCATGTCAGCAGCCCGCAGCATGCCCAAGGTCAAGTTAATGAATGGGAAATTCCTCTGCCGAAATAGCAGATAAAGAGCTGCTCAGTAGATGCACACAAAGTGCATCTCCATACCTTGGAATTAAGAACTAAAGATCACTGAGGGTTAAGACTTCCCTGAGTCCAAGAATATGGTAAGAAAAAGACCTTTGAGGATGCCTAGAATGACTTTTCCTAACCAACACTCTCTTTCTTCCCCTTGCACCTTGGAAATCTAGAATGGGTTGCTTCTTAAGGTGGCCTTAAATTGTCCTGGCGCTCAACATTCCCAAGCATCTGAGCATGCTCAGTCTGCCTTGCCACCCCCCTCCCCTTTAACATCTTCAGACCAAGCACACTGATTTACACCTTGCTCTTCACTATAGGGGATTTAGTTTGGTTTTGCGATGTGTAAACACAGAGAGTTTGGCTTGTAAACTCTGCTTTGGGGCTTCGTGAAGTGTGGCTTCTTCTGACTGTGTAAAAACAAACGGTAGCTTAAGTGTAATATGGGAATCAAGCCAGTCTTCTCTGAAATGGCTATTGCTTTGCATCTCTCGTGGCTCAGGAGACTTATAAGATGATGATGATGATGATGATGATGATGATGATGATGTCGAACATAAGCATTTTGCACCAGATGAATGGAATTGCTGAGCTACATGCGAAGTGATTAACTCAAGCTTTATATAACCAGAACTTTATTTTGCACAGTGGGCAAACAGCTTACTCAGCACGCTGAAGCTCAGTCGCCCTCCTTTAATCCCTTATGTGCTAATACTGCCTGCGTACTTGTTTGCTTCTGGAGTTCTCTTGCTTTTTTTCTCCTCCTATGATATTCCAGCCTGCTTCCAATGTCTGGAATCCTTTAGGGGATAGATTTATAGTTATTTCACAGGGCCAAGGTAAATCAGGATCTATCACTATAGATCAGTGTTCCTCAACCTTGGCAGCTTGAAGATGTGTGGACTTCAACTCCCAGAA